AAATAATAGGTCCAGCTTGATACTTTTCCAGGGAGGGTGCTGTTTTCATTGGTGGGATAGCACATGGTGTTCTACTGGTAAGTCAGTACCCAGCTGAAGTTGGGCAGCTGGACTAGGTGGTGCAGTCTTGACCCACCACAGTCTGTCGGCTCCACATTGAACCTGGAGCTTAGAGTTACTGCTGAATAGCTGGGTGGAATCCATTGTATCAGCAAACCAACAAAACGCACAGCAAAGAACAGGATGAGAATGAGAGCTTCAGGAGCATATATGTGTTGTTGACTGATAACTGTCAGCTGGGCGATACCATGCACCAGAAAGCTGTGATCAAAATGAAACTTGAAGGCCTGAATGTTGACATAGCTACACTACAAGACTGCAGGCTTGCTGAGAGAGGATCACTGAAGGAACAACGTTGATAGTGTGGATGTTCAGAGGAAACCTATGAGCAAGGGTCTGATAGGTATGGTCAGCAATAACCGAGCAACACAGGAACCCTTTAATATCTGCAGTGGGGGCAAACACTGTTGTGTTCCAGCGCTGAAATAATGGCACATTTTTCTCTTTGCTGCTATCAAATACCATCAGGTCATCTACAGTCCAGAACAGACAGAAAGCTGTTCATTGATGCTCACCTGAGATCCCTGTTAAAGGTGCACCGAGCTCCCATCACAAAGTGGTTGTGCGCTGACAATGCCACACTGAGGAACAGCTGCAGCAGCAAATGGACAGACTCTCTCACACTGAGAAAGAGTTTGGTTTGACTGTCAGCTTCAGGAACACAAAGGTCATGCTCCAGGATGTTGCCATCGTGTCATCTCTCAGCATTGACAATGTGACCCTAGAGGGTGTTGCTAGCTTCACATAGCTCCACAATCACCAGTAATCTGTCACTCGAGCCTGAAATCTCTCTCCCGTCACAAACACTGCAGCTGCTGTGTCTGAGCAGAGAGAGAGAGAGAGAGAGAGTAACAACAACTACCCAACTGCAGAGAACACGACACAGTTTACCAAACCTGCTTCCTCAGTGCATTCCTGTACAGTGCTGAGACCAGGACAGGATTTGCTCGGCAGGACAAAAGGCTGAAGTGTTTCCATCTTCACTGTCTCAGATGTATCCTTGGCAGGACAAGGTCGCTAACTCACAGGATCCTGTATCGGGATAATTCCATCAGCGCACGCTCATTGCTAAACCAAAGATGTCTGTGCTGGCTCGGCCCTGTTCATCGGACAGATGGCAGACATTTACCCAAAGGCCTTCTGTATGGTGAACTGACCACAGGGTCACCACCTCCTTCACCCCCATGTCCCTACTACAGGGACACAGTAAGAGAGCTGTGAAGGTGGTGGGTCACTGAAAACAGGGAGACAGTTACTGACAGCTGTGACCTCTGAAAGCTGACTGTTTGGAAGTGGTTTGGAGGAGATGAGAAGTGGACAGCTCAGCTTGCCAAGACAAGGATCCAGAAATTAGTACAAATTCTGAGCCCATTTCTGCTGGGTTTCAGCCCTATACTTAAGCAGGTTCCTTTGAACATGCGCGCATGCACACACAGAGGCATAGACACACACACGCATATGTGTGTGTCTGTGTGTGTGCACCTTTGTATGTGTGTGTGTGTCTTTGTTGGAACACTGCTGCAGGTCCAGGTCAGAAATGTTAGCACGAGAGCGAGTGGGTTGATTGAAGTGACAAGCAACTGAGAGATCAGGGTCAATCTTATGGACAGAGCGGAGGTGTTCCACAATGCGGTCACCCCAGTCTGCGTATGGTCTTTCCGATAGAAAGGAGACTGCATTATGAGTCAATGAATTCAGTCGACAAGTTATTGTCTAACGAGACAGAGGTCAACCACTAAGTAAAGTTTACTTTCAGTATTTCAGCTCCTGCTTTCTGAATACAGACTACACTGAGAAACCATTGGGGGCGCAGCATTGAGGTGACCTAGTTTCAAAACCAAATGCAATTTGAGGATCTATTTGATTAAGGTCTTCATTCTCTCAGCTTCATACACAAATTACTACTGCCTAGAGAGGGATTGACTTAGTGGTGCGAAAGCACCTCAGGGTGCCTGCTTTATCTGTGATTCAGCAAAGCCACACCCACTTTTGACAGCTCAGTAATTTAAATAGAAATTTAAATTCTCCCCCATTCTCTAATAGAGTCAGTGGGAACCCATTGAGCGGAGGATTCTAGCTGTCAGTCCTTGAGTCAGCACTCTGACTGGAAACGCTATAGTTCGAGTACTTTAGATGGGTCAGTTTTTGCCCAATGTGTGCAGGAGGGTTTCCTGACACAGTATGTAGATAGGCCAACAAGAGGCGAGGCCACATTGGATTTGGTACTGGGTAATGAACCAGGCCAGGTGTTAGATTTGGAGGTAGGTGAGCACTTTGGTGATAGTGACCACAATTCGGTGACGTTTACTTTAGCGATGGAAAGGGATAGGTATGTACCGCAGGGCAAGAGTTATAGCTGGGGGAAAGGCAATTATGAGGCGATGAGGCAAGATTTAGGATGCATAGGATGGAGAAGGAAACTGCAGGGGCTGGGCACAGTTGAAATGTGGAGCTTGTTGAAGGAACAGCTACTGCGTGTCCTTGAGAAGTATGTACCCGTCAGGCAGGGAGGAAGTGGTCGAGCGAGGGAACCGTGGTTTACTAAAGAAGTTGAATCTCTTGTCAAGAAGAAGAAGGAGGCTTATGTAGAGATGAGGCATGAAGGCTCAGTTAGGGCGCTTGAGAGTTACAAGTTAGCCAGGAAGGACCTAAAGAGAGAGCTAAGAAGAGCCAGGAGGGGACATGAGAAGTCTTTAGCAGGTCGGACCAAGGAAAACCCTAAAGCTTTCTATCGGTATGTCAGGAATAAAAGAATGACTAGAGTAAGATTGGGGCCGGTCAAGGACAGTAGTGGGAAGTTGTACGTGGAGTCCGAAGAGATAGGAGAGGTGCTAAATGAATATTTTTTGTCAGTATTCACACAGGAAAAAGACAATGTTGTCGAGGAGAATACTGAGATACAGTCTATTAGACTAGACGGGATTGAGGTTCATAAGGAGGAGGTGTTAGCAATTCTGGAAGGTGTGAAAATAGATAAGTCCCCTGGGCCGGATGGGATTTATCCTAGGATTCTCTGGGAAGCTAGAGAGGAGATTGCAGAGCCTTTGGATTTGATCTTTATGTCGTCATTGTCTTCAGGAATAGTGCCAGAAGACTGGAGACGAGCAAATGTTGTCCCCTTGTTCAAGAAGGGGAGTAGAGACAACCCTGGTAATTATAGACCAGTGAGCCTTACTTCGGTTGTGGGTAAGTGTTGGAAAGGATTATAAGAGATAGGATTTATAATCATCTAGAAAGGAATAATTTGATTAGGGATAGTCAACACGGTTTTGTGAAGGGTAGGTCGTGCCTCACAAACCTTATTGAGTTCTTTGAGAAGGTGACCAAACAGGTGGATGAGGGTAAAACGGTTGATGTGGTGTATATGGATTTCAGTAAAGCGTTTGATAAGGTTCCCCATGGTAGGCTATTGCAGAAAATATGGAGGCATGGGATTGAGGGTGATTTAGCGGTTTGGATCAGAAATTGGCTAGCTGTAAGGAGACAGAGGGTGGTGGTTGATGGGAAATGTTCATCCTGGAGTTCAGTTACTAGTGGTGTACCGCAAAGATCTGTTTTGGGGCCACTGCTGTTTGTCATTTTTATAAATGACCTGGATGAGGGCGTAGAAGGATGGGTTAGTAAATTTGCGGATGACACCAAAGTTGGTGGAGTTGTGGATAGTGCAGAAGGATGTTGCAGGTTACAGAGGGACATAGATAAGCTGCAGAGCTGGGCTGAGAGGTGGCAAATGGAGTTTAATGCGGAAAAGTGTGAGGTGATTCACTTTGGAAGGAGTAACAGGAATACAGAGTACTGGGCTTACGGTAAGATTGTTGGTAGTGTAGATGAGCAGAGAGATCTCGGTGTCCATGTGCATAGATCACTGAAAGTTGCCACCCAGGTTGATAGCGTTGTTAAGAAGGCGTACGGTATGTTAGGTTTTATTGGTAGAGGGATTGAGTTTTGAAGCCATGAGGTCATGTTGCAGCTGTACAAAACTCTGGTGCGGCCGCACTTGGAGTATTGCGTACAGTTCTCGTCACCGCATTATAGGAAGGATGTGGAAGCATTGGAAAGGGTGCAGAGGAAATTTACCAGGATGTTGCCTGGTATGGAGGGAAGGTCTTATGAGGAAAGGCTGAGGGTCTTGAGGCTGTTTTCGTTAGAGAGAAGAAGGTTAAGAGGTGACTTAATAGAGACATACAAGATGATCAGAGGATTAGATAGGGTGGACAGTGGGAGCCTTTTTCCTCGGATGGTGATGGCTAGCACGAGGGGACATAGCTTTAAATTGAGGGGTGATAGATATAGGACAGATGTCAGAGGTAGGTTCTTTACTCAGGGAGTAGTAAGGATGTGGAATGCCCTGCCTTCAAAAGTAGTGGACTCGCCAACTTTAAGGGCATTTAAATGGTCATTGGATAAACATATGGATGATAATGCAATAGTTTAGGTTAGATGGGCTTCAGATTGGTTTCACAGGTCGGCGCAACATCGAGGGCCGAAGGGCCTGTACTGCGCTGTAACGTTCTATGTTCTATGTTCTATGTTCTGAGTGCAAGGTTTGGGGTAATTACAGAGTTGGGGGCTGTTACAAGGTGAAGGGTAATTAGGGTGGGGTTTGTCGGGTGAAGGGTAATTAGGGTGGGGTTTGTTGCAGTGTGGGGGGTAATTAGGGTGGGGTTTGTTGCAGTGTGGGGTGTATTTCGGGTGGGGGTTATTGATTTATCATCAAAACCAGTGCCTTGTCGTGGTTATGGGCAAAAGTTCTGGAAAAATGTTGAAAATGTTTTAATCTTTTGCTGTTTTGGTAATGCCTGAGTTTAATTTCACTGCGCTTTTGGTAGCATGGTGTGCCCAGCAGTATTGAAACTCATTCTGTTGTTGGTTTGTCACAGCAACATGATCTGGAGGTGGACAGTGTGCCCTCTGGGCTATCAAAGGAGGAGCTGATTCAGAACATGGACCGTGTAGACAGGGAGATTACCATGGTTGAACAGCAGATCACCAAACTGAAGAAGAAGCAGGTATGACGTGGGACAGAACCAAGGGAGGGTAAAGGCCCTGTATAAATCAGGAGATGGACTTGTGCAACCTGGTTCACTTCAATGCACCATCTCATTTTCCTACAGCCTCTGGGACTCGGCATTGAGTTCAATAACGTTACATCCTGATCCCATCCTTCCTGGTTTTTTTAGCCACTCCCCCACATGGTCCTGTCAGGACATGGGTTGCTTTTAGCACAGATTACCCATTCTCTCATTCTCTCCATTCTCATCATCACTTTTTCAACTTCTCTCCTGCGCTGGCCTGCTAGCGACAACACCCTAATCTGTCTATTGCTTTTATCATCTCTCTCTCTCTCTCTCTCTCTCTCTCTCTCTATCTCCCCCCCCCCCCTCCCCGTCCCTCTCCCTCCCTCTCTCTCCTTGTCTCTCTCCTTCTCTCTCTCCCTCTCTCTCCCTCAATCTCCCTCACTCTCTCTCTCCCTCACTCTCTGTCCCCCCAACTCTCTGTACCCCACCCCTCTGCCCCCCGTCCCCTCATCTCTGCCCCCCGTCCCCTCATCTCTGCCCCCCGTCCCCCTCTCTCTCTCCCTCTTCCCCCCTTTCTCCACCTCTCTCTGCCCCCCTCAATCTTCCCCCTTCCCTCTTGCCCCCCTTCCCCCCCTCCCTCTTCCCCCTCTCCCTCTTCCCGCTCACACTCTCTCTGTCTACCACCTCACACTCACTCTCTCTCCCCCCCTTCTCCCTCTCCCACTCCCTCATTCTCTCTCCCTCCCTGGACTTTATCTCCACTTGTGCGCCCACTTCACCCCCAACTCTGGTCTTCAGCATAAATACCACCTTCCCCAAGCTGCTATCAATTCTGATGAAGAGTCACTTGACTCAAAATGTTAACTTTGCTTCCCACAGATGCTGTCAGACCTGCTGAGTTTCACCAATAATTTGTTTTTGTTTTCTTTCTGGTGTTTGGCAAATTTTGTTCGGGTCTGATTTAAGGCCTGATAAGACAGGGTGATTGGAAATGCAGTTTTATTTGTGCAATGTTTGTGTCATCGGCTCTGTTCTGGTGTGGTGACGAAATTTGATCTCAGCCCTGCCTTTCAAATTAATTCTCAGTGTGGGTGCTTTTTTGAAGCTGCAATTATTCTCCATCCTTGGCTGCTCTGCGTTGGAATCTCGCAGGTCATTTGCAGCCAGGCAGATTAGAGGCTTCTATCACATTGAGGGATTGATAAAACCCATCAGTGTCACTGAGTAAGACAGATGTGTGGGAGTTGTTCATTCAACCTGCTACGGATCTCACTGGTTTGATGTGTTGCTTGAGGCCGACTGTGCTGCAGCACCCAGCCGTTAGTAATCTCACAGTGTTTCTGCAAGATTGGTTATTGGAGAAATCTTCACCGCAGCTCCTGTCAGCGTTCGATCCATCTGGGAGATGGGCTGCTATCCTCCTCTTTTCCATGTTGGGATCTCCACGGACTGCTGTCTTGTCTTGAACAAGAGGCTGCTTGTTCCATGATGACAGTTAGGCCCAAGTTACATTGTTATAGAGGGATGTTGCTACAAAGGGAAGTTGTCAGCGATACTATGAATGAGAGCTCAAGGTTTGACTCCTTCGAGATCCAAAGCTGTTTCCTCTTCCTTGGTCCATACAACAACATAATTTTCTGTAGTGCTCTCCCTCAGCATTCCTCAGTATTAACCCTTTCAGATATATAAATATCCTTATATAACATTTACACAAAGCTCTTTTCACATTATTATTATTATACATTTTATGTACAGATTCCAAACTATTGTACCTTCAAGTTGATGGTCCAGAATTGGTTTTGACTCTACCTTGGGAAGAGTCTTCCTTTTTTGTTCTCTATCGTTAACTTGTTGAACTTTTTCCTTGTTGCATGATTTCCATTTCTCTGGAAATGTTCTTTTTGCAGAACCCTTTGTTTGTTTTTGTGGTGGTGAAGGTGTTGACTAGCAGTATTTTCTAAAAGTGTCCCAACTAGCCATACTTGCAGCACTCAGCTTTGTTTTTGGAAGGTGCTGTCAATGGATCTGTGAATTTCTGCAGTACATCTTGTAGATAGTACACACTGCTGCTACTGAGCGTCAGTGGTGGAGGGAGTGAATGCTTGTGGCTGTGGTGCAATCAAGCGGGCTGCTTTGTCCTGGATGGTGTCGAGCTTCTTGTGTTGTCAGAGCTGTACCCATCCAGGCAAGTGGGGAATATTCCATCACACTCTCGACCTGTGCCTTATAGATGCTGGATAGGCTTTGGGGAGTCAGGAAGTGAGTTACTTGCTGCAGTATTCCAAGACTCCAACTACTCATAGCCACTCTATTTATATGGCGAGTCTAGTTGAGCTTCAAGTCCACAGTGACCCCAAGGATGTTGATAATAGGGGATTCAGTGATGGTAACACCATTGAATGTCAAGGGATTGTTGGTTACATTCTGTCTTATTAGAGATGGTCATTGACTGGCATTTGTGTGGCACAAATGGTATTTGTCACTTGTCAGCCCAAGCCTGGATATTGACCAGGTTTTGATGCATTTGGTCCATCTGAAGAGATATGAATGAACATTGTGCATTCAACTGCGAATGTCCCACCTTTGACCTTACGATGGAGGGAAGGTCATTGATGAAGCAGCTGAAGATGGTTGGGCCTAGGACACTACCCTGAGGAACTCCTGCAGAGATGTCCTGGAGCTGGGATGACTGACCTCCAACAACCACGACCATCTTCCTATGGGTCAGGTATGACTCCAACCACTGGAGCATTTGTCCCGATACCCATTGATTCCAGTTTTGCTAGGGCTCCTTGATGCCACACTCAGGCAAATGCAGCCTTGATATCAAGGGCTGTCACTCTCACCTCATCTCTGGAATTCAGCTCTTTTCTACATGTTTGTAATGCCTACATGTACAAGGTTGTAATGAGATCAGGAGCTGAGTGGCCCTGGTGAAACCCAAACTGGGCGTCACCGAGCAGGTTATTGCTGAGCAGGTGCAGCTTGATAGCACTGTTACTGACACCTTCCATCACTTTACTGATGATTGAGAGGAGACTGATGGGGCGGTAATTGGCCGGGTTGGATTTGTCCTGCTTTTTGCGTACAGGACATACTTGGGCAATTTTCCACATTGTCGGGTAGATACCAGTGTTGTAACTGTACTGGAACAGCTTGGCTAGGGGAGCGGCAAGTTCTGGAGCACAAGTCTTCAGTACTATTGCTGGAATGTTGTCAGGGCCCGTAGCCTTTGCAGTATCCAGTGTCTCCAACCGTTTCTTGATATCACATGGCGTGAATCGAATTGGCTGAAGACTGGTATCCGTGATGCTGGGGACCACTGGAGGACGCCGAGATGGACCATCCACTTGGCACTTCTCGCTGAAGATTGCTGCAAATGCTTCAGCCTTATCTTTTGCACTGATGTGCTGGGCTCCTCCATCATTGAGGATGGAGATATTTGTGGAACCTCCTCCTCCCGTGAGTTGTTTAATTGTCCATCACCATTTACAACTGGATGTGGCAGGACTGCAGAGCTTAGATCTGATCCGTTGGTTATGGGATCACTTAGCTCTGTCTCTCACTTGCTGCTTTCGCTGTTTGGGGTGCAAGTAGTCCTGTTTGGTGGCTTCACCAGGTTGATACCTCATCTTCAGGCATGCCTGGTGTTGCTCCTGGCATCCCCTCCTGCACTCTCCATTGAACCAGGGTTGATCCCCTGGCTTGATGGTAATGGTTGAGTGGGGGATATGCCGGGCCATGAGGTTACAGATTGTGCTGGAGTACAATTCTGCTGCTGTTGATGGTCCACAGCGCCTCATGGATGCCCAGTCTTGAGTTGCTAGATCTGTCAAAGTCTGTCCCATTTAGCACAGAGATAGTGCTGCACAACACGATGGAGGTTGTTCTCAATGCGAAGGTGGGACTTCATCTCCACAAGGACTGTGTGATGGTCACTCTTACCGATACTGTCATGGACAGATGCAACTGCAGTTGGCAGATTAGTAAGGATGAGATCAAGTATGTTTCTGTCTCTTGTTGGTTCCCTCACCACCTGCCGCAGACCCAGTCTAGCAGCTATGTTCTTTAGGATCTGACCAGCTTGATCAGTAATACTGCTGCTGAGCCACTCTTGGTGGTGGACATTGAAATCCCCCACCCAGAGTACACGCTGTGCCCTGTGTCCTGTGTCCTCAGTGCTTCCTCTGAGTGTTGTTCAACATGGAGGAGTGTTGATTCATTAGTGGAGGGAAGATAGTGCGTGGTACTCAGCAGGAGATTTCCTTGCCCATGTTTAACCTGAAGCCATGAGACTTCATGGGGTCTGGAGTCAATGTTGAGGACTCTCAGAGCAACTCCCTCCCAACTGTATACAACTGTGCCACTACCCCTGCTGGTGAGACAGGACATATCCAGGGATGGTGATGGTGGTGAGTGGAACATTGTCTGTAAGGTATGATTCTGTGAGTATGACTATGTCAGGCTGTTGTTTGGCTAGTCTGTGAGACAGCTCTCCCAATTTTGTCACTAGTCCACAGATGTTAGTGAGGAGGACTTTGCAGGGTCGACAGGGCTGTTTCTGCCGTTGTCTTTTCCAGTGCCTAGATCGATGCTGGGTGGTCTGTCCAGTTTCCTTTCTTTGTTGAGACTGTGTCGTGATTGATGCAACTGAGTGGCTTGATAGGCCATTTCAGAGGGCAGTTGAGAGTCAACCACATTTCTGTGGGTCTGGAGTCACATGTAGGCCAGACCAGGTGAGGATGGCAGATTTCCTCCCCTGAAGGAAATTAGTGAACCAGATGGGTTTTTCTGAAAATCGACAATGGTTTCATGGTCATCAGTAGATTCTTAATTCCAGATTCGTTTTCTTATTGAGTTGAAATTCCACCATCTTCTGCGGCAGGATTTGAATCCATGTCCCCAGAATGTGAGCTGAGTTTTTGAATTAACAGTCTAGTGATAATACCACTAGCACATCACCTCCTCTGCTGGTGATTCTTTGAGCTTGTGATTTTGCCTGGAATGACACTGTGTACAACCTAATTTGGTCAGTGACATTGATTCCCACATCCAACATGTTCCAACATTAAATACTCCTTGGATTGAAGTCAATCTGATAACTTCTCATCAATCAGAACACTATGATATAGTCACTAATTCACATGTACTTCAGCGCACCAACAACATCCTTCTGGACAATATCAATCCATTGAAAAGGCTTCTTTTGATTCTCCCTAATACTGATGTTGTTGAGTCAGTCCAGTATCACTAACCTACTTTTAGATCAATGTGCCTGCTTAATCAATGCATTGCCTTCCCTCGTACTTTCCACACTTTTCCCGTTCAGAAAATCATCAGCTATTGGACCTGCACCGTGTAAAACCATGCTGCCCTGATGACACCTGCTCCTTCATGTAATGCCTACAACACTCAAACTGCTGCTTCCAGAATCTCCCACTTCTGGCCTCATTTTGGACCTTCCACATTATCAATTGGTTGAGTTCATGGCAAGGTCTTTACTCACTGGGCCATCCCTTGGGATAATTGTGTTTTATTGACCTTGGCTCCTCTCTACTGTGGAAACGTTCTGTTTTGTACTTTTCCTCTCTGGAATATCATAGGTTTGCAGTTAGGCTTCAAAGCTTCCATAGTTTTTCTAAAACTTTAGAGTTTGCGCACTCTCGCTGCATAAGCAAACATTTTCTGAGGTATTTATCTTGCCTTAGGAGTCTTCCATTTTCAGCTGTATCCCTCAGACTCGGTTTGAAATTCAGACCCTGTCTCTGGAGGTTTTCTCCCTTGTTTCCACCTTATACTGTAAGCCAAAGCTACTGTGTGCACATTGAGATCCTGGTCTGGAGTAACTCGGACTGTAGGTGTCTGTACTTACCCTGCCCCTGTGGCTGCTTGCTCCTTATCACTAAGGAAGGCTTTTCCACTTCATTGTGCACCATCTCACTCCTTCATCTGCAGCTGGATATGGTCAGTTCTCAATCACAGCTCTCTCACATCCTGTCTGACCATCTCTCTGTTCACTCACTCAATCCAGTCTGATGCCTTCGCCCTTAGTGATGTCAGAGCCATATGATCAGTTACATCATCAGGATTTACATGGGTCTCATTAGAGCACATTGTTAGTGAGTGTTCGAAACAGTCATGATCCTGGTCTTGGTTTCTGAGTCTGACAACTATGCAAGAATCTCCAAAACTCCCCAGAGAACTCCTCAAACCAGCACCATCTGTTTCTGAATTCTCAGCTCATTTATAATCCATCTTGGAGATTTAAACAGAATTCCCACAAGCTCTGATTTTAGCTCAGACATATCACCCTTGTTTTTCACTTTGGATTCCTGGAATAGACCAGGGGTAGAGAAATAAATTCCTGTTCTAAAAGAGAATGAAGCCAAATAGCTTTTACTCAAACATTGAAACCATGTCATTGAAAGCTTTGCCTTTGTATTTCTATGTTTAAGATCCCAGATGAAGAATTATCTTTGAAAACATCTGCGAGCTTGGTTACTGATGTATTAACACATAGGAGCAGAAATAGGCCGTTCAGCCCATCAAGTCTGCTTTGCCATTCAGTTAGATCATGGCTGATCAGATCATCCTCAATTCCACTTTCCTACTTTGTCTCCATAACCCTTGATTCTCTTACCGATTAAAAGTAGGTCTGTCTCAGCCTTGAATGTACTTAACAACCCAGCCTCCACAGCCCTATGTGGGAAAGAATTCCACAGATTCAATCCCATCTGAGAGAGGAAATTCTCCACATCTGTGTCTTAAATGTGTGACCCTTTACTGTGAGATAATGTGCTTTGGTCCTAGACTCTCCCACAAGGGGAAGCAGCCTCTTCACATCTCCCTTTCCAAATCCTTACAGTCTTGTAAGGTTCAACATGTCAATTCTTATCAAATCTATTCATAAGGCATGTGTTGATGGATTGATTCTTACATGTTGTTACCAGACATTAGAGGATGTTGGTTTTGATTTATAATTTACTCCTCAAAGTAATAGACTGCATGGTATTGCTCGTTCGTAATCCCAGAGTTATTCAGCAGATGGGAATAGCTACTGTTGAGAATGATGAAACAAACCTTTAAACAGAGACATTTGTTGCAAAACTTAGTGGGATTTCAACAGGATAGCTTCCGTTTCTGAGATTGATCTCAACGTCAAAGTGTTTGTTCTAATGGCCACTTAATTAGTTTTACAGATTGAACAAAGCGTTGTTTTTCACTTCATAGACATTAATAACAGAAAGTAAATTTGTCATTGGGATACATTCCTAACACAGACTCACTTAAAGACTGATATAATCCTTTTATTTTGTCAGGACATTCAGATGAGGGAAATGACTGTCAGCCTTGAGGTGATCAAATGTATCGCTTCCTGACAAGACGAGTCACATGGTGCTGTCCATCCCAATCTCACATCACCCTGAAGTGTTTCTGAAATCTCTCTTGAATGTGCTGATCTTTCATTCCTCACTCTCGCAGTTTTTCTCTTTTGACAGCAACAGCTTGAAGCCGAGGTTGCAAGGCCAGTGGAACCTGAGAATCCAGCTTCCCCACCTCCTGCTGAACAGCGACATCGCAGTGTGGTGCAAATCATTTATGATGAAAACAGGGTAAGTGTGTAATTACTGCAGGGACAGGCAGCCATGAATCAATTGGGTAAAAACATAGAGCTGAAACCCTCCTTTCATCAGATTGGCTGATCCTTCATAGAGTGGGACTTGTTCACCTCATTCCAACCTATCAATTGAGATCTACACAGGGAACTAGCTGTAGTGGCTTCTCATCCTGATCTGAACATTCTCCTCCAAGGATTTATCCCTGGGTCTGTATCTTACTACTCATCTCTCCCCCATCACAGTGTCAATACAGAGTAAGTCTTCCCATGGACACTGACAATGCCCAGCTCTAACTTGACTCTAACCTGACCACTGCCTCCCAACTGACTCCACCATCTCTTTCTCAACTAGTGCAGGAACTGTTTAAGAGAAACAGTGTGCTGGAGAAGTTCAGCAGGCCTGGCAGGAGCTGTGCAGAGAGAAACAGACCTGCTGAATTTCTCCAGTACTCTCTGTTTATGTTTCAGATTTCCAGCATCTGCAGTTCTTTGCTTATTTTGGGTTGAGAAGCTCCTTGTGGCTCAGTGGGCAGTGTCCCTGTCTCTGGGACAGAAGCTCCAGGTTTAATCCCCACACCACCACTTAATAGCACAGGAAGGTGTGATCCTAAAGTGGTTCAAGCCATTTGATAATCAGCCAGCAGATAGACCTGTGCTGTTGACACAAGGATAGGCGGATGGACAGGTAGCGCTGAGGAAGCGGGGAGGCTGCAGAAGGACTTGGACAGGCTAGGAGAGTGGACCAAGAAGTGGCAGATGGAATACAATGTGGGAAAGTGTGAGGTTATGCGCATTGGTAAGAAGGAAGTGCAGACTATTTTCTAAATGGGAAAAGGCTTCGGAAATCTGAAGCACAAAGGGACTTGGGAGTCATAGTTCAAGATTCTCAAGATTAACATGCAGATTCAGTGAGCAAAAAAACCAGAGAACTGTAGATGCTGGAAATCAGAAATGAAAATTGTTCTGAAGGAAAACCATTCTGAAGAAGCGTCACTTGACCCGAAATGCTAACTCTGTTTTCTCTCCACACACCTGCCAGACCTGCTGAGCTTTTCCAGCAACTTGTGCTTGTTTCTGATTTACAGCATCCACAGTTCTTTCAATTTTTATTTAGTTCTGTGTCATTGACAGTTCTGAGGAAGGATCTCTGGACCCAAAATGTTAACTCTGATTTCTCTTCACAGATGTTGCCAGACCTGCTGAGCTTTTCCAGCAACTTCTGTTTTTGCTGCTGAGTTGCAGTTGTCAGTTGGAAAGATGCATGCAATGTTAGATCTGTTTCAAGAGGACTAGAATACAAGAGCAGAAATGTACTGCTGAGGCTGTATAAGGCTCTGGTCAGACTATATTTGGAATATTGAGAGCAGTTTGGGCACCCGCATCTAAGGAAGGATGTGCTGGCCTTAGAGGGGCCCATAAGAGATTTACAAGAATGATCCCAGGGACGAAGGGCTTGTCAGATTAGGAACGATTGAGGACACTGGGTCTGTACTCAGTGGAGTTTAGAAGGATGAGGAGGGATCTGATTGAAATTTACAGAATACTGAGAGGTTTGGATAGAGTGGACATGGAGAAGATGTTTCCAATAGTAGAAGAGACTAGGGCCCGAGGGCACAGCCTCAGAGTGAAAAGACGACCCTTTAAAATTGAAATGAGGAGGAATTTCTTCAACCAGAGGGTGAGGAATCTGTGGAACTCTTTCCTGCAGTAGGCTGTGGAGGCCAAGTCATTGATTGTGTTTAAGACAGAGATAGATAGGTTCTTGATTAGTCAGGGGATTGAGGGTTACAGAAGACTGCCAGGAGAATGGGGTTGAGAAGTAAATCAGGCATGATCAAATGGCTGAGCAGACTCGATGGGCCAAATGGCCTAATTCTATTCCGATAGCTTATGGTCTTCCAACTTCTCACTATTCCCCAAAGGGATCAGTGTGGCTGGAGAGAGAAAATAAATGACTTCACTCCTGTCTTCTGGGCAAGTCCTGAAATGGTGTCGGAAAAATAACGACCTTGTGGCAGTATCATTGGGTTCAGTTACACATCTTAGGGGAAGGGGTAGGGGGATTCAAATTTCATCACGGCAGCTAGTGAAATTTCAATTCAATTAAATAAAATAAAATCTGGAAGTGGAAAATAGCCTCAGTCATATGATGCAGAACTATCATCGTTTGTATAAAATAACCCACTATGATCATAAATCTTCTTTAGGGTGGGAAATCTGCCATCCTCACCTGGTCTGGCCTACAAGTGACTCCAGACTCATTGCACTGTGGTTGATTCTCTACTGCCCTGTAAATTGCCAAGCAAGCCATTGAGTTCAAGGGCAATTAGGGATCAACAATAGATGTTAGCCTGGCTAATGATGTCCCCTCCCCCACCCCCCCATCCCATCCCATGTATCCTGCTGTAGGTAAGGCAGGGGAGTAGGGCTGATCAGGGATTTACAGGTGGAGGCAGGCTGAGGTATTAAATGAATACTTTGCATCTGTCTTTATAAAAGAGGAGGATGCTGCGCAGGCCATGGGTTATTTTATTTGATATGGATACACAATTAGCAGAGTGATTAGAAACCGGGAGTAATGGTCAAAGAATACTTTTCCTGCCCGGTGCAAGACTTGTTGTGGAGTTCCTTGGGGGGTTGATATCGGGACCCTTGTAATAATGACCTGGATATTTCTGTGCAGGGGAGAATTTCTGAGTTTACAGATAACCCAAAACTTGGAAGATTTTTAACCTGTAAGGAGGACAGTGCAGAACTCTGAAAGGGCATTGACAAGTTAGAGTAGGTGGATAAAACCAGAAAGAACTATGCTTGCTTTAAATCAGAAACAAAAACAAAAGTTGCTGGAAAAGCTCAGCAGGTCTGGCAGCATCTGTGGAGAGAAATCAGAGTGAATGTTTTGGGTTGAGTGACCCTTCCTCAGAGTAACTGGATAGGTGTCAGATGGGGTTCAATGCAGAGAAACATGAGGTGATAAACTATGGTGGGAAGAACATTGAAAGGCAATATAAAGTAGGGAATACAATTCTAAAGAGGATGCATGAGCAGAGTGAGCTGGTTGTTTATGTACACAGATGATTAATGGTGCCAGGACGGGAGAGAGAGCAGTTAATAAAGCACACGGTTTTCTTGGCTTTATGAATAGGGACATAGACTACAAGAGCAGTGAGATACTGCTGAACTTGTACAAGACACTTGTTAGACCTCAACTGGATTATTGTGTGAAGGTGTGGGTGTTGCATTATAGAATGGATGTGAATGCATTGGAGAGAGTGCAGAAGCGATTTACAAAAATGGTTCCAGGGATGAGAAACTTCAGTGATGAGGATAGATTGAAGAAGCTGAAACAAGAACGAGAGGGGCATAGATTTAGTGATGTATAAATGAAGCAAAGGTGATGTGAGAAAAAAACTTTTAAGTAGTTAGGTTCTGGAATGCACTGCCTAGAAATGTGGTGGAGGCAGGTTCAATTGAGGCATTTCAAGAGGGACTTGATGTTTTTGGATAGTAATGGTGTGCGGGGAGATGGGGAAAAGGAAGGAGATTGGCAGAACGGGATAGAAACAATGCGGGTACGGTGGGTCAAATAGCTTCATTCTGTACCACAATCGTTATGTGATGTTCCTGAAAAGCAACTGTCTTCATTTCAGGCACCATTGCTGGGACATTGGTTACCGTACAACGTCTGGGCAGTGGTTACCGGGCAACTCCCTGAAATGGCTGCTGGACTTTGACAATAAACCCTCAGTTTAAAAAAAATTCTCTGAAAAATGTCTGTTTTGCTGCAGAAAAAAGCAGAAGCTGCTCACCGAACATTGGACGGACTGGGTCCTCACATTGAACTGGTGAGTCTCGTCTCTGTCTGATAGACAACTAACTCTGTTTAGTATCTATTCAACATTAAGTCAACAAAAAGGAAGCAGAAAACTTCTTTTTGAACCATTAACTGAATAAGACCTTCAGAATACTGCAGGCTGACATCTTCATTCTACGACCTGCCCTCAGCCCTACACAGACCCAACTGAGCACACAATAGGAAACCCCCAAAAAGAACACTCATTTCCCAATGTCATTGTTGGCCCTGTTTGATGGACAGTCAAACATTGATATTTTATCTCCTTCAAGTACTGTTACAACCTTGTTATTTCAGGGGCTGAGAGTAAAAATGTGTTTTTAACTGCTTAGAATATGATGGTTATGTGTCTGACTCGAGATCACAACACAAAACAGTTGATAAAATTCAGGAAGCTATTTTGTTCTGATTCAGCAGTACTAGAGCCTATTTCATAACTCTTTTTATTCATTCCTGGTGTGTGAATAAATACCAGCATTTATTGTCCATCCCTAAATATCCTGGACAAAGTGGTAATGCGCTGTCCTCTTGAACCACTGCAGACCATGTGCTGTTGGGGAGATTGTTCCAGGATTCTGACCCAGTGACAGTGAAGGAACGGCGATATATTTCCAAGTCAAGATGGGGAATGGCTTGGAGGGGAACTTGCAGGAGGAGGTGTTCCCTTGTATCTGCTGCCTTTGTCCTTATAGATGGAAGTGGCTGTGGGTTTGGAAGGTGCTGTCTAAGGAGCCTTGGTGAATTCTGCAATGCATCTTATAGACAGTACACACTGTGGCTACTGAGCGTCGGTGGTGGAGGGAGTGAATGTTTTTGGATGTAGTGCCAATAAAACAGGCTGCTTTGTCCTGGATAGTGTCAAGCTTCTTGAATGTTGGTGGAGCTACACCCATCCAGGTAAGTGGGGAGTATTCCATCACATTCCTGACTTGGGGAGTCAAACAGTGGGGGACGTTTTAGTGTGAAAGATGAACTGGCCCCAGATAACGTGTCAAAAGTGAGATTCAGCTGGCAACAAGTAGCTGATTGGTCTGTGAACTTGAGACCAGTTGTTGATGACAAAGGCCTTCAGCCTGCCAACACCCAGGTAGGTGGACAACTTGTAGGTGAGAGTGATGTAGTTCATTTATATCTGAGCACAGGAAGTGGGTGTGGATCATAAGGCATGTTCCTCCTGTCTCAGACACTATGGCCTGGGAAAAATACATGAGAACAAACAATGTCTACTTGAGCTTTGCTGCTACCACTAGTGCTGCATAACCAACACCTTTCAGAATAAACCATGCAAATAAGGAGCTCTGAAGACAGATATTTTCTAATCCATCTGATCAGAGATGTCATTACACACCCCCAAAGCAAGTGGGACTGTTGGTCATGTCTTGGAGATATCCAAGATCAGGAAATTGGCACTGTCTGGATCTGATCATCACCAGATTTGACTCTGAACAACTTTCTCAACCATGCAACTTCCACGGTGCTGACTGTACAAACCACTCCTCTTTGTACACCAGGATTAGGATGTAAACTCTGAAGCTGTTGCATTGAAAGCAGAAAGATTGTCCTCCTATAAGTATCAGGCATATTGCTTGCACAGCTAAAACCAAGAGAACCTCGACTTGTTTGAACAGATGTTTTCCCACATTTCCACATCGATGCACCATCTGCAGTATCACAGATTCAACATAGGAGCAGAAATAATTCAAAACTGGTTTAAAGCTAGCATCAATGTATCAAGCCCCTTGTTGAAGCCAAGCAGTCTGATCTCGTCAATTGTAAGAGTGATCTGAGCAGCATCAGAGTCCTACAGACTTCAGGGCAGTGTTCCAACGATTACTTGTGCAGATATACTTCAATGCAGCAGATTCTAGGGGCATGTATCATTTTCTTCAGCTCTCAGCCAGTCTGATCCACACTGCTGTGATCTCCATGCCAGGTAGGGCGAGGAAACAGATACCAAATCCCACCCAGATAGAAGGGCAATCAGTCTGATCTATACCACCCATCAAGCCAACCTGACCCATTCCCCACCTCCCCCCACCCAAAGATTCAGAGCTGCCGGGGCAACTTGCCCCTTTATGTATCTGTAGTGTGGAGCTCTGAGCAGTAATGGGAGAGGATCCCATTTTTCTTTTCATCTCATAGTTGCTCAGGAATCTCTCCTGCTCTTACCACCTGCCTTTGGCCTGTGTTGGAAGTATTTTCAATTTTAGACTCAGCCAGCCCTGGTTATGAACATACCCTTTTTGTCCCTAGAGTGGGGCTTGAACCAGTTGAATTAAAAAGATGACAAGTCCATTAGTGGCCAGTTATTCTCTCCCATCAGTTGCTGTAAACTATTGCCTCTAGCCAGTAGCTGAAAGATATTTTAACAAGTGTGCACACTGCCCTGTATCTTTTGCAAAGAATTGAAAGAATCTAGAAGTAAGAAGATTGGAGAATAGAAGGTCTTAGGAGCAAAGAGGGAAACCTCATCAGATCCTATGGACTGGTGCTATTCAACTGTGTTTCCATAGTACTTTTTCCTTCACCCATAATGCTTTAATTAATGTGTGTGTGTGTGTGTGTGTGTGTGTGTGTGTGTGTGTGTGTGTGTTTTTAAAAGGGAGTTAGAATTTCAGCTTGTACATTTACCTGGTGATAATTTCTGGTGATAAATAATAGTTTCTTGTGAAATACAGAAACCTTGTCAGTATTTTCTGTTATTACAGCAGACAAGAAAATTAGGGAGTTGAGTAATTTGATTAAGGTTTTAGCTTTTGTCTGGTCCTGCGTCATGGGGCTCATGTATCAGATAACTTTCCTGGGTGGGTTGTGATACATATAACTGTTTCCTGTTATAGATTCATAGAGTTATACAGGACACAAACAGACCCTTCGGGCCAACTTGTCCATGCTGACCAGGTTTCCTAAACTGAACTAATCACTTTTACTTGTGTTTGGCCCATGTCTCTCTAAAGTTTTCTTATGGATGTACTTGTCCATATGTCTTTTAAATGTTGTAATTGTACTGCCTGAGGGACTTGATAAAAGCAGCTGAAATGAAAATGAAGCAGCTAAACCCAAATGAAGAAGTGTGTTTGTTAAACTTGTTACCAAATGATTCAGAGAGTGAGTTCCAATCCCAACGTGACAACTTGTCTTCAGTTTAAAATATTTGGAAATAAAATGTTTGTATCAGACAAAACAACCATGAAGCTGCAAACATCTAATTGGGTTAATTCTTATTTAAGACCAGAAATCTTGTCCATTGTGGGACTCCAGTCCCATGGTTTCATTCTTCTCTGAAGTGGCCAGTGAGCACCCACAGCAGTCACATCCCGAGAGTGAACTGTGCAAATAAAGTTTAGCCTTTTACTAAAAATAAGCTTGAGTTTGTTTGTTTGATTTCCCATCAGCAGTTTGTGGTAACCAGGTGAGTGATTTGAATGAGAAAACCAGTAGTTAACTGCTATCACTCACAAAGCAGCAGCTCTGATATTTACAGACTGTACAGTCTCGAAGATCTCATCAGATTCTATCGGTAACACCAGGGATATGGGGCAGGAGAGCTGTTGCCTGCACAACTCAAGAGAAACAATCCTCTCAGAAACCTGAACAGGTTGTCATTTGTTCTTGTCTTTTTGTTTCAACAGCCTTTATATAATCAGCCGTCAGATACCAAGCAATATCATGAGAACATTCAGATGTGAGTTTGAATTTATTTCACTGTTTTTCAATATGGTTGCAATCTTGCACCTTGGTGCTAATTGAAGGGTAGAATGGGGAACTGGTTCTGGTGAGCGATGTTGCTGTTTCTGGGGTTAGAAACAATAGCACCGAGAAAGGCCATTCAGTCAGTTCTACTCTTTTTCACTGAAGAGCAGCACAGTCCACCTCACCCTTCCTGCTGTCCCCTGTAGTCCTGCAGGATTTCAACTCCAGATGTTTATTCGATTCTCTTTTGAAATTTATTATTAAATCAGATTATTCATAATTATTATGTCTAAAAAGGTTTAGTCCGTTTTTCATCAGAAGAGATATAAAAATAAAAGTTGCTGTAAATCTTTTTCTTCCTGGAGCAGAGTATACATGAATGTCTCCAAAGATATTTAAATGGAAATTAATTTATTAAGCTAACTGGGTGGGGATAGGAGGGTGAGGGGCAAGAGGTAATGTTGAGGGTGTGTGAGGGTGAGGGCTATATTTTGTTTGTTTTTTTTTAACAGCTTTAATAAAGTAGGTTACCGAGGTGAGTGTTTCCGAGGCGACCAGGAGATGAGGAGGGGGGGCCCTCGATGCTCTGATACTTTGTAGATGTGACAACCCTCAACCTGTCCCCAGTTCCTTCAGCCCTCACCCGCGCACTCCCCTCATTTCTTCACTAACTACCACCCTCGATCCCCTCACTCCCTCACACACACCCCCCCCACTCTCCCCGCTCCCCTCGCCTCCCCCCCCCGCTCCCCTCACCTCCCCCCCACTCCCCTCGACCCCTCTCAAACCCCACTCCTCCCTCTTTGCCCCCCAAGCCCCTCCCCCTTGATCCCCTGGCTCCCACCATCCACCTCACGCCCTCCTTACATCCTTACTACCCCTAATTCTTGTTACCCTGCACCTGACTCACCTCTCTTCCCCCCCCCCTCACTTGCCTCAATCCCCTCATCTTTGCCATCACCCACCTTCAGCTCATCCTCTCCCAGCTCAACCCTTCAGCCTGTGTCACCACCCCCCCCAACATCCTGCTATCACCTCATTCCCTACACACTTCCCCAAGGGGAGGCAATGGCCTAGTGGTATTGTCGCTGGACTATTAATCCAGAGACCCAGACAATGTTCTGGGGACTCAGGTTTAAATCCGGCCATGGTAGGTGGTGGAAACTGAATTCAATAAATATCCAGACTTAAGAGTCTAATGATGATCATGAATTCATTGCTGATTGTCGGAAAAACCCATCTAGTTCACTAGTGCCCTTTAGGAAAGGAAACTGCCATCCTTACCTGGTCTGGCCTACGTGAAACTCCAGACCCACAGCAATGTAGTTGACTCTTAACTGCCCCCTGGGCAATAAATGCTGCCTAGCCAGCGATGCCCTCATCCCATGAATGAATAAAAAACAGTCCCATCCATACGGCAGCCGCACACTCTTCAAGAAACCTAGTGCTCCTCTACTCCTGTCCATGACCCTCCATGACCTCCCCATGGCTGTTCGCTATCCTTGTGACTTTCTGTCACCTCCACAACCCCCATCCCTGTGACCCTCTGTGACCCGCTGTGACAGTGCTTGTACGTAGCAGCATCCGTTCTCGGGACGGAGCGGCGTCCGTGCCACATATGGATTAGCGTTGCTGACCGCATGGATCATTGTTTGTTCTCCATACGGAACAGTGTCCATTTTCTGCACTGATCGGCTTCAGTGTCCATACAGGGCAGTGTCTGTTCCCTGTAACGACTGGTGGGGCCTGTAACGACTGGTGGGGCCCGTACCGACTGGGGCCCGTACCGAATGGTGGGGCCCGTACCGACTGGGGCCCGTACCGAATGGTGGGGCCCGTACCGACTGGTGGTGCCCATACCGACTGGTGGTGCCCATACCGAGTGGTGGGGCCTGTACCGACTGGGGCCCGTACCGAATGGTGGGGCCCGTACCGACTGGTGGTGCCCGTACCGACTGGGGCCCGTACCGAATGGTGGTGCCCATACCGACTGGGGCCCGTACCGAATGGTGGTGCCCGTACCGAATGGTGGTGCCCGTACCGAATGGTGGTGCCCGTAACGACTGGGGCCCGTACCGACTGGTGGGGCCCGTACCGACTGGTGGGGCCTGTACCCATTGGTGTCGCTGTGAGTATGGATGATTGATGCTGTGTACAGGGTACTGACTACTATCAGGGTGTTAAATTTGTTCTCCTGGTATTTCAGAAACCAGGTGATGAGGAAGCGGTTGATTTTGTATTTCAAACGGAGGAACCACGCTCGCAAACGTTGGGTGAGGATGCTGTTCTGTTGCTGATGTCATTTTTTTAATATCCTGTTGCTTCTTGTGATTTGTCTCTTTTGGCGTACAATTAAAATATTAGCCATTAAGCTGTTTGCTAAATAAGTGCAATCCTCAGTCTGTTTGGTTTCGACAGAATCCTAAAATAATACCAATGAAGGCTATTCAGCCCATCATGCAGTTACCAGCCCCACTCCCCTGAGCTTTCCCTATCCACGAGAGACTTTGTGGATGGTTTAAGTTAGGGTAGGGCAGTAGTGAGGGGTTGGAGGGAGGGACTAAAGCCTTGATAAGGGTTGGGGGTGAGGGGTCATTGTTGGGGTCAGAGCTGTGCTTAACATCAGGAAGATATCAGGTAATTCCAGGGAAGTCTATCTCTGCTGATTTCAACGTGCAGTCAGTTTGGAATCTGTTGTAATCACAATCTCAGTACAATTGCAGAGAAGTTTGCAGCTTCTATTTTCAGCGTTGTTAACTTTTCAGAAATGTCTTCGGGAGAGTACAAACAGCATTGTTTCAAACCCAGAACCCTAGGTAGAGGAGATGTGGGACCCTCTTGTAGTCAGTGGCTAAGGCAAAGAGTAGAGAGACTGAGAATAGTCTGGGAGCGCAGGACGGCGAGCATAGGATGGTGTGTGCAGGGCTGCGAGCTCAGGACCGCGAGCTCAGGACGGCGAGCGCAGGACTGCGAGCCGACAGCAGTGAGCTCAGGGCCGCAAGCGCAGGACAGCAATTGCAGGGCCGCGAGCGCAGGACGGCGAGCTCAGGGCTGATAGCGCAGACAGCGAGTGCAGGATGGTGAGTACAGGGCCGCGATTATGATCTAGAAGTGGTCTGCTCTTTAACCTGTGCCTGGGTGTATAAATGTTTCTCATGTCTGTCACTGCTGGTCCTCTCTGATTAGCTGCATGCTCTGTTGTGTTCGGGGCTGCTCACTCAGTCCCATCGGTCACAGAAAGTCTCACCACCTTCACAACAGACTGGTGCCTTCAGGCCATGAGGAGCATTGAGAGAGATGGGAATGTGGGATATGATGAGAATGACAGATCAGCCATGGTCTTAGTGAATGGCACAGCAGGCTCGAGGGGCCGAATGGTCTACTCCTTCTCCTCATTCCTATGCGTATTGGGTTTATTGGCGCTGCCTGTTTAGAGAGGGGGCAGTGTCAGTGGTCATCTCTATGCTGGTGTTGAAGGGACTGAGTGAGAGGATTGACCCAAAGCCCTGTCCTTGACCTTTTATAGGAACAGAAATTTTGTCAACGGTACGACCAACTGATGGAAGTCTGGGAAAAGAAGATTGAACGTATTGAGAATAACCCACGGCGACGAGCCAAGGAAAACAAGGTGCGGGAATACTATGAGCGACAGTTCCCAGAGATTCGTAAACAGCGAGAGCTGCAGGAACGAATGCAAAGGTACAAAGCTTTCAAACATTAAACTCCAATATTTACTGATTAAAACAAGAACTTGTCTGAGTTGTCATTCATTCTGCATGACACAATCTCACAATAAACACACGGGATGCAGTTATTGATGAAGAATATTGTGGTTGTTATTCAGAGACTTTTTCATCTCTATGGGTCAACCGTCTGAAGAAGGGTCCCGACCCGAAACGTCAGCTTTCCTGTTCCTCTGATGCTGCCTGGCCTGCTCTGTTCCTCCAGCTTCACACTGTGTTGTCTCTGACTCCAGCATCTGCAGTTCTTTCAAACTCCTTCATCTGTATGGATCTGACTAGGAATTTGACAAATGGGAATGCTGTCATAACGTGGAACATAATCTAACTCCAGGCCTTACAGATGTTTTTATAAGTCAAAATATTTTACTCCCTCTGAACCGAACATCTTAAGAAATACAAAGTTGTGCACTAGAATAGACTAATTTCTGACAGATGGAATGATACCCATAGTAATTTAGCAGGAAGTTGAGAGCAGTTATTCAGTATTAATGAGCAAAGTAGAACAAAGTGTGCAGAAGACGCTGAAAGTCTGCAGAGGGATATAGATGGTCTAAGTGAGTGGGCAAAGGTCTGGCAGATGGAGTACAATGTTGATAAGTGTGAGGTCATCCATTTTGGTAGGAATAACAGCAAAATGGACTATGTTTTAAATGGTAAAAAACTGCAGCACGCTGCTGTGCAGAGGGACTTAGGTGTCCTTGTGCATGAATCGCTAAAAGTAGGATTGCAGGTACAGCAGGTAATTAAAAAGGCAAACGGAATTTTGTCTGCCATTGCTAGAGGGATGGAGTTTAAAAACAGGGAGGCTATGCTGCAGCTGTATAGGGTCCTGGTGAGGCCACACCTGGAGTACTGTGTGCAGTTTTGGTCTCCTTACTTGAGAAGGGATATACTAGCACTGGAGGGGGTGCAGAGGAGATTCACTCGGTTGATTCCAGAGTTGAGAGGGTTGGATTATGAGGAGAGACTGAATAGGCTGGGATTATACTCATTGGAATTCAGAAGAATGAGGGGAGATCTTATAGAAACATATAAGATTATGAAGGGAGTAGATAAGGTGGAGGCAGGGAGGTTGTTTCCACTAGCAGGTGAAACTAGGACTAGGGAGCATCGCCTCAAAATAAAGGGAAGCAGATGTAGGACTGAGGTCAGGAGGAACTTCTTCACCCAAAGGCTTGTGAATCTGTGGAATTTCCTGCCCAGTGAAGCGGTTGAAGCTACCTCGCTGAATGTGTTTAAGGCAAGGCTAGATAAATTTTTGAACAATAAAGGAATTAAGGGTTACGGTGAGCGGGCGGGTAAGTGGAGCTGAGTCTCAAGAAGATCAGCCATGATCTTATTAAATGGCGAGGCAGGCTCGAGGGGCCAGATGGCCTCCTCCTGCTCCTAGTTCTTATGTTCTTATTAAGCTCTGCAGAGTCCAAACTGCTCAACCCTTCACCATGACTTTTGACTCATTATCCTTGTAGTGTGTGTGATGTATCTTGCTGCATTGCATGTCTTTGGTTAATTGGGATGGTTTGATGATTGGGGATGGTTCCCCACATTCCTGAGACTTCAGCAAATTTCAATGCAGCAGACAATGCAGTTGTTGTTTGACAGATTTTGTTTTTACCTTGAACATAGTGCAACCCCCCCTACAGCTGTGAGAAAGTGACAGTTCACAGAACATTGCCAGCCCTGAGCTATCTTTCTCCGGATTGAGCTGACTGTGAGATTTACTTGTTTTTGATGTGTTTTATCAGCAGGGTAGGACAGCGGGGCTGCACACTGTCAGCAACTGTGGCTCGGAGTGAACACGAAATCTCTGAGATTATCGATGGACTTTCAGAACAAGAGGTGAGCTTTCTCTTTACAAACTTTCACTCTGCTTTCTCTTTGGGATTTACCACAGTTGTGTCTCTTGCCGCAGGACAATGTGGGCGTGAGGCTGGGAGCTCATTACAGTGGAGTGAGTCGCAAGAAACCAGCACCTTTTCCTTCTGAGCAGGCAGTGTCCCTCACAGAGACTCGGTGTAGGTCACAGCCCAAGGACTACTGCCACTGACAACCCATTAAATCTTATTACCTCAGACAAACTTGGGTGAATAATCACTGGGGTCAGAAATAATTTGTTCCACCTTATCTTTAAACTTTTCACTTAATGAGTTTTTGTAAAGACTAGAGATTCTGACGCAAAAAGGGGGTTGTACTGAAATAATTACTGAATCAATTAATGTGTTTCATGAAGGCAGTTTTGGGAGAATTTTGGGGAATTTTTTTTGATGTGTTTGTGGCCTCATTGTGCTCCTTATTTTTATATTAAATATTCATTCAAAAAATAAGGAAAACTTTGTTGCTGTCGTCCCCAAACTGACAGTTCTGAGAAACTAATAACCTGTCTGCATTTTAGAAAAGCTGGTAAATTTTGGTACTTGAATCTTGACATTCCTCAGGAAAAGTTCCCCATATCCCTCACTGCTCCCAATTGCTCCACAATTTGAACAGCTGCTGCTAAAATCATCACACAGCAGCAGATTCCTCACGATGAGTACAGCTCTCTTGAAGAGGAATAGATCAACCCGGGGGGAATATGGAGGCAGGCTGCCTGCTTAGGGGGTGCAGATATTTTACAACAACCCCCAGCACTGGACATAAATAGGGTGCACTCAGTTATGTTTGGAATAATGGGGCTGTACACGTTCTGCTCCTGTACAACCAGCAAGTTCCTCACTGCACACCAGGCAGCTCCTGGGGGAAAGGCATTACCAATGGAGTTTACATTCTTTTTCCTGTAGAACACTGAGAAGCAGATGCGACAATTGGCTGTTATCCCACCAATGCTGTTTGATGCAGACCAACAGCGTGTTAAATTTATCAACATGAATGGGTTAATGGAAGATCCCATGAAGGTGTACAAGGAACAGCAGCTTCTCAACCACTGGGGAGACCACGAGAAAGAGATCTTCAGAGAAAAGTAAGGACCATTTGAAGGTGTTTGTTTGTATTGACTGGCTGGAGTCACTGTACACCTGGCCGGGGGACAGAGGGCGTTCTTGTCAAATATTAAAATAAATCTCTTACACTCTCGCTGCATAAAACATTTACTGTAAGTGATTTGTGTCTGGGAATTTTTACTGACTGACAGGACTGGTCGCCCTGTTATAGCAAGGATATTATTAAACTGGAAAGGGTTCAGAAAAGATTAACTGAGATGTTGCCAGGATTGGAGGGTTTGAGATATAAAAATAGACTGGAAAGGCTGGGACTTTTTTCACTGGAACATGGGAGGTTGAGGGGTGACTTACTGAGGTTTATAAAATCATGAGGGGCATCGATAAGGTGAATGACAAGGGTCTTTTATGGAATCCCTAAGTGTTGGAAGCAGGCCATTCAGCCCATTGAGTCCATACCAACCTTCCATAGAGCATCCTACCCACGCCCACTGCCCTACCTTATCTCTCTAACCCTGCATTTTCCATGGCTAATCTACCTAGCTTGCAGATCCCTGAACACTATGGGTAATTTAGCACGGCCAATCCACCTAATCTGCACATGTTTCGACTATGGGAGGAAACAACAGCATCTGGAGGAAACCCACACAGATACGGGGAGAATGTGCAAACTCCACACAGTCACCTGAGGATGGGATTGAACCTGCGACCCTGGTGCTGTGAGGCAGCAGTGCTAACCACTGAGCCACTGTGCTGCTCAAAGGGGGAGTTCACAATTTAGGGACATATTTTGAAGGTGAGAAGAGAAAGAGTTGAAAAGGACATGAGGGACTTCGTGTGTGGAATGTACTGCCAGAGGAAGTGGTGGATGCTAGTACAGTTACAACATTTAAAAGGCATTTGGATAAGTCCATGAGTAGGAAAGGTTTGGAGGGAAATGGGCCAAGTGCAGGCAGCTGGGACTGGGTTTAGTTTGGGATTATAGTCAGCATGGACTTGTTGGACCAGAGGGTCTGTTTCCACGCTGTATGATCCCAACTTTATCAGGCTGATGATGTAAAGGAACAAAATTTTGGATTTCAGTCCGCAGTGGAGTTTCTGCTGATTGTTCACAGAAACATAGGAGTTAGGAGTAGGCCATTCAGCCTTTCAAGCCTGCTCCTTCATTCAATATGATCATGGCTGATTGTCACACTCAATACCCTGATCCTGCCCTGCCCCCAGATTCCTTGATCACTTTAGCTACAAGAGCAATATCTATTTCCATCTTGAAAACACATAACGTTTTGGCCTCAACCACTTTCTGTGATCGTGAATTCCACAGGCTCACGACTCTCTGGGTGACGATATTTCTGCTCCTCTCAGTCCTAAAAGGTTAACACTTTCTCCTTAAACTATGAACCTTGATTCTGGATTCCCCCACCAACGGGAACGTCCTTCCTGCATCAACCCTGTCTAGTCCTGTTAGAATTTTATAGGTTTCTATGAGATCCCTCCTCATTCTTCTGAACTCCAGTGACTACAATCCGAACTGACTCAATCTCTCCTCCTACATCAGTCCTGCCATCCCAGGAATCAATTCAGCAAACTTTTGCTACACTCCCTCCATAGCAGGAACATTGTTCCTCAGACCAAAACTGCACACCATATCCCAAGTGTGGCCTTACCAATGCCCTGTCTAATTGCAGCAAGACATCCATGTTGCTGTACCCAAATCGTCTCGCTATGAAGGTCAAGATACAGTTTGCCTTCTTTACTGCCTGCTGCACCCATACACCTACTTTCAGCAGCTGGTGCACAAAGAAACCCCAGGTCTTTTTGAACATACCCTCTCTCAATTTATAGCTATTCACCTAATAGTCTGCCTTCCTACTTTTTGCTACCGAAGTGGATAACCTCTCAATTATCCACGTTATACTGTATGTGCGATGTATTTGCTTGCTCACTCAGCCTGTCCCAATTACATTGCAACATCTCTCCATCCTCCTCGCAGCTCAGCCTGCCATCCAGCTTTATGTTATCTGGAAATTTAGAAATATTACATTTAGTTCACTCATCTAAATCATTAACCTATATTGTAAATAGCTGGGATCCCTGAAGTACTCCATTAGTCACTGCCTGCCATTCAGAAAAAGACCCATTTATTCCTCCTGTTTGTTCCTGTCTGCCAAATGGTTATCCGTCTATCTCAGTCCACTATCCCTAATCCCATGCGCTTTAACTTTACACATTAAACTCTTACATGGGATTTTGTCAAAAGCATTCTGAAAGCCCAAGTAAGCTACATCCACCGGCTCCCCCTCATCAATACCGCAGGTTACATCTTCAAAGAAATCGGTAGATTTGTCAAGCATGATCTCCCATTTGTAAATCCAATCTGATTCTCTCAGATCCTGCCACTGTTTTCCAAATGCTCGGCTATTATATCTTTTATAATCGACTCTCACATTTTCCCCACTCCTGACATCAAATACACTGCTCTGTAACTCCCTGTTTTCTCTCTGCCTCCCTTTTTAAACAGTAGGGTTACATTAGCTAGCCTCCAATCTGTAGGAACTCTTCCAGAGTTGAAAGAATCTTAGAAAATGACCACCAGAGCACCCACTATTCCTATGGCAACTTTCTTAAGAAAACAGAGAACAGTACAGCACAGGAACAGGCCCTTCAACCCACCAAGACTGCACCAGCACATGATGCCTTTCTAAACTAAAAACCTTTTGCCTTCTATGGGATCCGTATCCCTCTATTCCATGTCTATTCATGTATCTGTCAAGATGCCTCTTAAATGCTGCTATTGTATCCACCTCCACCGTCACATCCTCTGACAGTGCATTCCACGCACTTACCGCCCTCTGTGTAAAATAGAAACACCTACCTCTCATATCCCCTTTAAACTTGCCCTCTTTTACCTTAAACTTATGTTCCCTAGTAATTGATTTCTCCACTCAGGGAAAAAGACTCCGACTATCCAATCTATCTGTGCCTCTTATAATTTTGTAAACTTCTATCAGGTCACCCTCAGCCTCTGATGTTCAAGTGAAACCTAACCAAAGCTTGTCCAGTCTCTCCTCATGGCTAACAGCAAATTACTGCAGAAGCTGGAATCTGTTCTGAAAGCAACAAATGCTGGAGATCACACTGGGTTAGACAGCATCAATGGAGAGAGAGCGAACTCATGTTTCCAGTCTAGAAGACACTTCATCAGCGCTGACATACTAATACCCTCCAAAGCGGGCAACATCCTGGTAAATCTTTTCTGTACCCTCTCCAAAGCCTTCACTTCCTTCTGGTAGTGTGGTGACCAGAACTGTATGCGTTATTCCAAATGTGGCCTCACTAAAGTTCTATACAGCTGCAACATGACTTGCGCATTTTTATATTCTGTGCCATGACCGATGAAGGTAAGCATGCCATATGCCTTCTTGACCACCTTATCCACTAGTGTTACCACTTTCAGGGAACTGTGGACCTGTACACTTAGATCCCTCTGCAAGTTGATGCTACTAACATTTCTTCCATCTACTCCCTCCTGCATTAGACCTTCCAAAATGCATCACCTCACATTTATCTGGATTAAACTTCATCTGCCATTTCTCTGTCCACGTCTCCAGCCTACCTATATCCTGCCATATCCTCTGACAATCCTCCACACTATCTGTAAATGCTGTTTCTTAGGAGGGGTTAACAGGGAGAGGGGTGAAAACTTGGAGAAGTTGTCGTGGTGTGTCATCCAGCTAAGACTGGTCATTGTTGGATGTTGTACAGAGGGCTGCAATCCAGCGGTATTCCGAGCAACAGGAACCCCTGCATCCAGCATTACGACCCAGAATATTCCAGAACTTTATTTCACAGGGAAGGAGAATAGCTATAGAGTCTTGCCACCAGTGACTGGTTAGTCACTAAATCTAAACTAGTTACAGTGAAGCTTCAGAGCAGGTGAGAGTGTTATTAAAGCAACAATGAGAAAGGATGATAGATTGTCACTCAGTGTCGCGTTACGCAGAAGACACTCCAAAAACTGTGAACTTGACACTACTTCCTTTCAATTCCCAGGTTCATTCAGCATCCGAAGAATTTTGGACACCTGACAACATTTCTGGAGAGGAAGGCAAGTGGGCATTTGTCACTTTATTTGTGATTAGGTTTGAGGTGTGTCAAACAAAACAACACATCAGGTCCTGGTTTCATGGCCTGTACAATTGGTAAAGAATTTGGCAGAACAGTAGGTTACAGTGTCGTTGTGATCAGATGGTGTGTACGGTGTGTGAGATTACAGCCTGACTGGGTACAATGTGAGAGGTGACAGCGTGACTGGGTACAGCGTGAGGTTACAGCGTGACTGAGTACAGCACGAGAGGTTAAGAACATAGAATAGTACAGCACAGTACAGGCCCTTCGGGCCACGATGTTGTGCTGACCTATTATCCTACTAAGATCAATCTACCCTGCATACCCTACAATTTACTATCCTCCATGTGCCTATCCAAGAGTCGCTTAAAGTCCCTAAAGTATCTGACTCCACTACCAGTGCCGGCAGCGCATTCCACACGCCCACCACTCTCTGTGTGAAGAACCTACCTCTGACATCTCCCCTATACCTTCCTCCATCACCTTAAAATTATGCCCCCTCATAATAGTCATTTCCGCCCTGGGAAAAAGTCTGACTATCCACTCTATCTATGCCTCTCATCATCTTGTACACCTCTATCAAGGCACCTCTCATCCTTCTTCGCTCCAATGAAAAAAGCCCTCGCTCCCTCAACCTTTCCTCATAAGACCTGCCCTCCAGTCCAGGCAGCATCCTGGTAAATCTCCTCTGCACCCTCTCTAAAGCTTCCACATCCTTCCTATAATGAGGCGACCAGAACTGAACACAATATTCCAAGTGTGGTCTAACCAGAGTTTTATAGAGCTACAGCATAACCTCACTGCTCTTAAACTCAATTCCCCTGCCAACGAAAGCCAACACACCATACGCCTTCTTTACAACCCTATCAACTTTGAGGGGTCTATGGACGTGGACCCCAAGATCCTTCTGTCCTCCACACTGCCAAGAATCGTACCATTAACCCTGTATTCTGCATTCAAATTCAACTTTCCAAAATGAATCACTTCACACTTTTCTGGGTTAAATTCCATCCGCCACTTCTTTGCCCAGCTCTGCATCCTGTCAATGTTCCGTTACAACCTACAACAGCCCTCCATGCTGTCCACAACTTCACCAACATTCGTGTCATCGGCAAAATTACTAACCCACCCTTCCACTTCCTCATCCAAGTCATTTATAAAGATCACAAGGAGCAGAGGTCCCAGAACAGATCCCTGTGGAACACCACTGGTCACCGAGCTCCAGGCTGAATACTTTCCATCTACTACCACTCTCTGTCTTCTATTGGACAGCCAATTCTGTGTCCAGACAGCCAAATTTCCCTGAATCCCATGCCTCCTTACTTTCTGAATGAGCCTACCATGGGGAACCTTATCAAATGTCTCACTAAAATCCATATACACCACATCCACTGCTCTACCTTCATCGATGTGTTTTGTCACATCCTCAAAGAATTCAATAAGGCTTGTGAGGCATGACCTGCCCCTCACCAAGCCATGCTGACTATCTCTAATCAAACTGTGCTTTTCCAAATAATCATAAATACTATCTGTCAGAATTCTCTCCAATAATTTTCCCACCACAGAAGTAAGACTGACTGGTCTGTAATTCCCAGGATTATCCCTATTCCCTTTCTTGAACAAGGGAATAACATTTGCCACCCTCCAGTCATCTAGTACTACTCCAGTGGACAGTGAGGACGCAAAGATCATTGCCAAAAGGGCAGCAATCTCTTCCCTTGCTTCCCATAGAAACCTTGGGTATATCCCGTCTGGCCCAGGGGACTTATCTATTTTCATGTTTTTCAAAATTTCTAGCACATCCTTCTTCCTAACATCAACCTATTCGAGCATATCAGCCTGTTTTATGCCGTCCTCACAAACGTCAAGGTCCCTCTCACTGGTGAATACTGAAGCAAAGTATTCATTAAGAACTTCCCCTATCTCCTCCAACTCCAGACACAAATTCCCTCCATTATCCCTGATTGGCCCTACCCTCACTCTGGCCATCCTCTTGTTCCTCACATAAGTATAGAACGTCTTGGGGTTTTCCTTAATCCTCAACGCCAAGGCTTTTTCATGCCCCTTCTAGTTCTTCTAAGTCCATTCTTTCGTTTCCTCCTGGCTGCCTTGTAACCTTCTACAGACCTGTCCGATCCTTGCTTCCTCAACCCTAAGTAATCTTCCTTCTTCCTCTTGACTAGATGTTCCACATGTCTTGTCATCCAAGGTTCCTTCACCTTACCATCCCTTCATTGCCTCAGTGGGACAAATGTATCCAGCACTTGTAGCAAGTGCTCCCTGAACAACCTCCACATTTCTGCTGTGCATTTCCCTGAGAACATCTGTTCCCAATTTATGCTAAGCAGTTCTTGCCTAATAGCATTGTAATTTCCCCCTCCCCCAATTAAATACTTTGCCATACCGTCTACTGCTATCCCTCTCCATGATAATAGTAAAGGTAATGGAGTTGCGATAACTATCACCGAAATGCTCTCCCACCAAGAGATCTGACACCTGGCCTGGTTCGTTGCCAAGCACCAAATCCAATATGGCCTCCCCTCTACTCGGCCTACCTACATATTGAGTCAGAAATCCTTCCTGGACACACCTGACAAAATCTGCTCCATTCAAACCATTTGCACTTAGGAGGTTCCAGTCGATATTAGGGAAGTTGAAGTCACCCATGACAACAACCGTATTATTTCTGCACATTTCCAAAATCTGCCTCCCAATCTGTTCCTCAGGTCTCTGTTGCTGTTGGAGGGGGTGGGGGGGTTCTATAGAAAACTCCCAATAAAGTGGCTGCTCCTTTCCTGTTTCTGACTTCCACCCATACTGACTCAGTCGACAAACCCTCCTCCACGACCTCCCTTTCTGCAGCTGTGATACCATCCCTGATTAGCAATGCCACTCCCCCACCTCTTTTACCTCCCTTCCTATTTCTTTTGAAACATCTATACCCCGGAACATCCAACAACCATTCCTGTCCCCGTGTTATCCAAGTCTCTGTAATGGCCACAACATCGTAGTTCCAAGTACTGATCCATGCTCTAAGTTGGTCACCCTTATTCCTGACACTTCTTGCAGTGAAGTAGACACACCTCAACCTGTCGCACTGACTGCCACTTTGCCCTATCAACTGCTTATCGTTCCTCTCAGATTCTCTGCTTGCTCTATCTGTCTGTACACTGGCTACCCCATCCTCTGATCTGTAGCTCCGGTTCCCATCCCCCTGCCAAACTAGTTTAAACTCTCCCAAAGAGCTCTAGAAAACCTGCTGCCCAGGATATAGGTGCAACCCGTCCTTCCTGTACAGGTCCTACTTTCCCCAGAAGGTATCCCAATGATCCACAAACTTGAAGCCCTCCCTCCTACACCAGCTCTGTCGCCACATGTTCAGCTGCACTCGCTCTCTGTTTCTGGCCTCACTAGCCTGTGGCACCGGTAGTAATCCTGAGATTACTACTCTGCTCGTCCTGGCTTTCAGCTTCCAACCTAACTCCCTATAATCACTTTTCAGGTCCTCATCTCTTTTCCTAGCTATGTCATCGGTACCGATGTGTACCATGACTTCTGGCTGCTCTCCCTCCCCGTTAAGAATCCTGAAGACCCGATCTGAGACATCCCTGACCCTGGCACCTGGGAGGCAACATACCATGCGGGAGTCACGTTAAGTACCACAGAATCTCCTGTCTGTTCCCTGAACCAGTGAATCTCCTATCAGTATCGCTCTCCTTTTCTCCCCCCTTTCGTCTGTGCCACAGGGTCAGGCTCAGTGCCAGACACCTGTCCGCTATGGCCTTCACCTGGTAGTTCGTCCCCCCCAACAGTATCCAAAATGGTATACTTATTATTGAGGGGAACGGCCACAGGGGATCCCTGCACTGTCTGCCTGTTCCCTTTCCCCCTCCTGATGGTCACCCAGCTACCTTTATCCTGTAACTTGGGTTGGGACCACCTCCCTATAACTCCTCTCTATCACCCCTTCAGCCTCCCGAATGATCCGGAGTTCATCCAGCTCCAGCTCCAGTTCTCTAACGCAGTCTGTGAGGAGCTGGAATTGGGTGCACTTCTCGCAGGTGAAATCAGAAGGGACACCAGTAGTGACCCTTACCTCCCTCATCCTACAAGAGGAACACGCAACTGCCCCTAGCTTCTATTTCCTCTAGATTGCCAAGAGAATAAAAAAAAGGTTACAGCCTGACTGGATACAGCGCGAGAGGTTACAGCCTGACTGG